CACAAGCCAGCAAGGCCCTACACATACGTACACTGGCAGCCAGGCATGCTACTTCAGGTCTCTGTCAATAGGAATGCCATCTTTTGCTAATGTCTTCTGGACAGTTTCACTGTTTAAAGGAGCGCACTTGGAATGTGTAATAGATTTCAACTCGAGAGCTCTGATGCCACCGTTCACGAGTCCCTGGGCATTCGGGAAAAGAGAGAGAGAACGGTGTTTCTGTGTGTGTTGTCATGTTGGCTATACACAACTCCACAAGAAAGCCAGGACTGTGCCAGACTGTCTCGCTGGACTCTCACCGAGTCATCAGAAGGTTGAACCCCAACAGTTTGCCCAGGACTCATTTGACTGATGGATATCTCAAGACTCTTGTCCTGATATCATCCAAATTCAGTTGTAAATGGGACGCTGGACCCGTTTTCCAGCAGGTGATGCTCTCCACCAATAGATGGAGCCTCTTCCCTTGTGCTAGCGGTGTCTGCTCTTACCAGCACCACTAGCACTGGAGGGGGTGTGTTTGTTTAAAAAAAAAAAAAAAAAAAAAAAAGGATTCACCAACCCGTCCAGAGTTAGAGATACCCCTGCGCAAAGTGGCCCACTTTATTCGCACCAACCCTGCAATCCTGTCAGACTGTCGTCCAAACCCCACGTGTGTACGTTCACTGTGTGTGTTAGTACGTTGCCTCTGGAATGGTGCCCTGCCGCATGTGGTGAAAAAAAGACGAAGAAAAATGTTATGGCGGCCAATCAGCTCCCACCACCAACCACCCCAACCAGTGCAGGTCCTCTTTTTCTGTACTGTCAAAGTTCACTACAGTTTGTATTTCACAGACTGAACTGAGCGAGCCACCCCCCGCTTCATACCCCTCTAAAGATACGTGAGCACCACTCTGCATGGTTACACCTACTGTCTTCCCCCGAACATAACGCACCCTCATTATACGTGACCACCACTACCCATGGTTGTGCCAACGGTCTTTCCCTCAACATAACGCACCCTCGTTACGAATGTATACAAGTGCTTTGTCGTCCGGTACAGTCAAGATTGGGGTGCGTTATGTTGAGGGGACTACCGCAGTATCTCACACAACTACGTTAGTCCTGCCTCCTGAACATAACTGCCCCAACTCCTCCGATTGCAAGAGAGATGACTCCTGCATGATGTATCCTGCCTGCCACCTCGGACCTCACAGCACCACAACCCTTACCTCACATGGGGTTCCTCCTGTTGTGCTCCGATTTGCCGCGGTTTACCATCCCCATTGCTCCCCCTTTGACGGACTTCTATGTTCTGCCGTCAAATTGTACTGCTACTGTCCACAATTCCGCCGCGTCATCCCAGTGATCACAGGACCCACTTGCCTGTGATACCACGTCACAGCAACTGATGAAACCCGGACCTTGGACAGTGCTATGCCACTTTGCAATAATCTATAGCAATTGAAATGTCACGAGGGCGATGAATATTCTAGACCAGCTACACAAAGTTACAAACACAGTAGAAATAAAATTAGCAGTCAAGAAAAGAAATCCTTTGCTAAACTGATAGCAGGACCGTTGCCACTCAGGCGGACAACAAGGCAGCTCAATCAAACTTAGACCTAGAATTGCATAACTAGTTTGCCGACACAAAACTCGAACAATTCATGTTTAAAAAAGTTGAAAGTTCAAACATACCGCCAGAAAAGAAAAATCAATTTACGCAATTATTTTGTTAAACCACCAGTTCACAGGAGCCTACCTTCCAAGGCTTGCGAGCCTGCAACTGCGGATTTTCGAAGTGGCCTGCCGTGTTCACTACCGGTCAAGGCCTGAATAGCAAAGCTCTCATCGCGCATACCGGTCTGAGCACCACTTAAGCTCATGCGAACTGGTGGTTTAACAAAAATCAATTATAGAATTTTAATTTTTAAGTAATGAGTTTGTGGCAAATGTTATGATCCTGCAAATTCACAGAGCAAAACTTGAAAGGAGACAATTGTCGCATGCCTAATCGGCATCGATTCAGAACTGAGAACCGACCTCTCAGAGACAATACAAAAATAGCACAGCAGAAGACTGTAATACGAAGATCTGACTCAGCATTGACAATGACAGGACCTGACAGCATACATCATCACTCAGAAAGAGGGAGAGGAGACGAAGGGGGAAGAAGGAGACAGGGAAGATCAGTGACCATAGCCAGATGGACCCAGTCTCCAATGTACTGCTCTTACCATGTCAAGGCGTAATGTCACTGAACTGGGCAATGCGCAAATGTCACGAAGTCTCATTGTCAACTCTCTCTCTCTCTCGTATCTCAGCAGCAGCAGCAGCAGCAGCAGAAGAAGAAGAACCCCAAGGGGAAGAGGAGGGGCGATGGAGATCGGCAGAAAGAAGAAAAAGAAGAAATCCTCTCTCTCTCTCTCTCTCTCTCTCTCTCTCTCTCTCTCTCTCTCTCTCTCTCTCTCTCTCTCTCTCTCTCTCTCTCTCTCCATGTATGCCAGGTACTAACCTGCAGAAAGGTGCCGCCTTGATGCAGGTGTGGACGTCCCGAAGATGAAGCTGGAGCTATGGTATCGCAGGTAAGTCGCACGTAAGTCCTCCTGGGCTTGGCCCGTCTCTCTCTGGTATCGCAGGTAAGTCGCAGGTAAGCCCTCCTGGGCTTGGCCCGTCTCTCTCATTCTCTCTCGCTGCAGTGCAGAGCAGTGCTCCAACTCCTAGCTCGCGCCAAGCGCTGTAGACTACTCTTAACTGCGCCCAGCACGTCGACTACTGAAGACTACTCGCTACTACCTCAGAGCTACCACTGAGAAGCGCCTAGCACTACCTCGGTGAACTGCCTGAAGAACTACCTACCAAGAAATGAGGTCCACCCAGCTATATATACGCTGGGTCTAGTGTCCTAGGTCGAAAGGAAACAGTCTGATCGAAAGAAAAACTGGTCTGGCGCCAAGAACAGAAGTCTGTTCTGGCGCCAAAAACGAAAAATGGCAAAATGTAGGGGCCAGGCGAAAATACGAAAAATGTGGCGCCCATTTGCAGAACATAGGAACCAGGCGAAAATATGAAACGTCTGGCGCCAATTTGCCTAGGTCTGGTCGATGCCAAAGGTAGGAATCTGGTTTTGCATAGTTAGGGTCTATGCCAAAAGTGGGAAGATGGCAAAAACAAGATAGTGGTCTACTGGGTCCTACGGGTGACACAGACCCTAAACCCTACAAAACCCCTAACCCTACTGTCAGGTCTTGCAGGGCCTGTGTGGATCTGAGTATGCCACCCCCCCCCTCCTCCTTGAAAGACCGAGCGTATCCAGCTTGGAGGCGTGGAAGACCGGGTGGACTGGTAGATGTGGCGGGATGTCAATCACGAACGATGGGCCATTGGGCTCGTTGCCTGCGGCTGATATGGCGGCCCATGGGCCAAACTACTTGGGGAGGAGTTTGTGCGAGACATCTTGTTCAAGTGCGAACTCATCGGAGGAAACCCATACAAGGTCGCCTTCACGGATAGGACATGGCACGTGACGCCGATTAGCTTGCTGCTGCATGCGGGCTTGAGCATTTTGCGTGTTTACGCGGGCTTTCCCGGTACTTCTGAATGGAGGCGGGAGAGCAAGGAGCGTCAATGTCGGCTGCCCGAGGGAATATAAGATTTGCGAAGATACGACCTTTCCGGCCACCGTGGTGCAATTCGAAGGGAGTTACTCCAACGACCGGATGCAACAAAGTGTTGTAGGCGAATTCGACGTCGGGGAGGTGGTCAACCCAATCTTTCTGGCCCAGACGGATGAGCGTACGAAGCATCATTTGAGTAGTTTGATGTGCCCGCCCCATTTTCCCGTCCGCTTGTCGGGGCCGAGCCGAACTCGGTTTCATTTCGGTGCCGGATTCCGTCATGAGGGATGTCAAAAATACCGACATGAATTGAGTATCGCGGTTGCTAACGATGGCTTCCAGAATGTCGTGGCTGCAAATCCAGCCGGTGTGCAAGAGTCTCGCGAGCTTAGAAGCCATCACATGGTACTTGCAAGGAAGAAAGTGTGTGTATTTACTTAGTCGGTTAACGACTGTGAGGATATCGTTATGCCTGAGGCGATCTCGTGGCAAGGGTTCGGTGACGTCCATGCCAGTAGACAATCTGGGTTCCCCGAGGAATTGGCAACGGGTGCAACTCGCCGTACGGGTTGCCGTTGCGGGGCTTGTTGCGCCAACAAAACTTGCAAGATTCGCAATACCGTGTGACGTCAATGATGATGTCGGACCATTTGAATTATTGGCGAAGTAGAGTAATTGCCCGATTTCAAAAGTGTCCTACGAGCCGCGAATCGTGGTAGTCACCAAGGAGGTGAGTTCGTCATCGATGGTATCGTGGGACGCATAACAAGTCTTTGCCTCGTAAATGGAGAAGCAAGTACCCGTCGACAATGCGGTGGTGGCTAGCCGGCGGGTGGTTCAAAGAAAGCTGTCTTGTATGCTCGTACAAAAAGCTTATCTAGGTCTTCATCAAAGTCGAAGGCGTGGTGTATCAATGAGCAAAGATTGACTCTTCGCGAAAGAGAATATGCCGCTTGATTGGAGAGGCCCGAGATGTGCTTCTACATGAAGTCAAACTGGTTGATGAAGTACGCCCATCGTCCGATCATGCTACTCACCGTGTCTTGCATCTTGTAGTAGGTCAATGGGTTGTTTTCCATTACCCAAGTGAACCTACGACTCCCGAGGAAGAAGTGTCTCCAACATTTTAGTACTGTGGCGAAAAGACCAGAAACTCCTTCCTTGCATCATCAAGCAAATTGATGGGGGACACCTTTTGGTTGAAGTATTCAACCGGGTGCCAATCTACGCCGTCGTGTTGTTCCAAGACTGCACCAATGTCGTAGTCGGAAGCGTCCGTAGTCACTCTGTTTGGCAAGGTGAGGTCGTAGATAGCCAAAACGGGAGCCATAAGTATCGCGGTCTTCAGCTTGTGGAATGAACTCCGGACTTCGTCAGTGAAGTGGAAGGGCACCTTCGGACATTGAAGTCGTGACAAAGGTGTGGCGATCCGTATGTATCCGCCGATGAAGCGTTGATAGTGCCCCGCCAATCCCATGAAGAAGGGAACCTCCGTGGTGTTGGTGGGTTCCAACTAATGTTGGATGACCTTAATTTTGTCCTCAAGCGGACGAATGCCTTGTGGCGTCACAAAGTGACCCGAGTATTTGAGCTCTTGTTGCGTGAACTCGCACTTGGCTCGGTTGCCTTGTACTTGGCCTTACGTAGCCTCTCCAAAACGGTGCGTAGATGCGCGAGGTGCTTGTCCAAGGTTCGACTATAAACCAAGATGTCGTCGAGGTAGACGAGCATGAACCGGTCCAACATGTCACGAAACTCCGTCATCATTGCCGCTTGGAAAGTAGCTGGGGCATTCGTGAGGCCGATCGGCATTACGTCCCACTCGAAGTGCCCATACTGTGTCTTGAACATGGTCTTGTACTGATCTCGTGGATGAATCTCGATTTGGTGATGATTG